CAAGGATAAAAATATGAATGAGACAACAGCAAGTGTAATTGTGGATGATCTAAATTTTTTTCTAATTCTTATTTCACCTGTATTGTTTTGTTTTTTTATTTATTTAGAAATATAATAATCTCACGTGGACAATAATTACAGTGATATATGAACACATTCACACCAAATATTAACAAAAGTAAAATAATAATCAATAACTATATACAATAAAAAATAAAATAACCTAAAGATAAGAAAATTAAAAACATAAAAACTCAGTCATACCTACATACAGTATATACAATCAGGCAGGGAACCCCAAGTCAGGCTTGTCCCTCTATAGGGAAAAGCAGGACTTTAAAAGATTCCTGCGCTACTCTCTCAACCGCGTCACTGGTGCTAAAGGCAGTGGAGATTGAGCGAGAGCGCTTTAGCCACATACATTCATGTCTTGAGTGGAGAATCTGGCCATTCCCAGAACTCCAAGATATATACTACAAAACATCTCTGGGCCACTGCCGCTTCAACCTTCGAGGAGGATTGTAGGGATGAGTGGAGCTAGATAGGGATTGTGAATGGGGTTTTGGATGATTTATAAGGTTCTGGTGTAATTTGGAAAAATTTTCAGGGATAAGGTCAACGACAAATGGGATATTAAGGTCATGATGTAGAATTTTGTTGGTTACATAGAATGGAGCATCGACTATTGTTCGGAGGACTTTGGACTGAAAGGATTGGATGCGTTTGATGTTAGAAAATTTTGATATCTCCCAAAGTTCAAGTACGTAGGTCTAAAAAGGTTTCACGATTGTCTTGTAAATCAATAATTTGTTGTCAATTGAAAGTTGAGATTTTCTAGTCAGTAGTCTGTATAATTTGCCGTATCGTCGGTTAAGTTCTTGCCATTTATTACACCAGTGCTCAATCAGGGAGAGGTGTCTTTGCGTCTTTAAAGATGCTATTTCTGGATCTGAGTTGAAGGATAGGATGGAGGTGTCATCAGCAAATGTTGCCAGGAAGGTATCGGGATGGACATGGATATCAGTGGTAAAAAAGATATAAAGTCCCTAGACGCTACCTTGAGGAACACCGGCTTCAACTGGGTAGAAATTGGAAAATTCTGTACCACAGCAAACTCGGAAGGTGTGATCAGAGAGGTACAAGGAATTCCGGATTAGGTACTAGGACTGGGGTAGATGGGTTTTCAGCTTGGAAAGAAGCCCGGCGTGCCATTTCCGGTCAAAAGCTTGAGCTATGTCCAGAAATACATCCGAACAAAATTGCTTGCTTTCCAATGCTGCGGAAATATGATCGACCACTCGGATTCCTTGTTAGACTGAGGAGTTTTGTGAACGAAATCCGAACTGATGGGAAGGAAGATTTTGGGATTATATGAAGGGAAGGATTCGTTTCAGCAGGATCTCTTCAAAGATTTTTGAGAGGATTGGAAATAGGCTAATTGGTCTGTAGGGCGTCGAGGTTTAGGGAGGTTTGCCTGGTTTTGGAAACAGGATAATAGTGTAATGTTTCCACAAATGAGGAAAGTTGGTGGTTCTTAGGATGGTATTCTTTAAGTAAGTGAGAAATACAACAGCTTTAGGAGGAAGTTTAATAAGGATTTGATAAATAAGGAGATCGTATCCAGGAGGTTTACGGAGAGGAAATTTTTGTAAGTGATGTTTGACCTCAGAAGGATTTACTGCTTTAGGAGGTAAGAATAGTGGAATGGGTGATGTAAGGAATTCTGCTACTGTTGTGGTATGGTTGGGGTTGGATTCCGGATGAGAGGTGAATGTTCTGGAGAGTTATCTAGCGAATTCCTCAGCTTTGTCTTCATCAGACGCTGCCCAGGAGCCATCGCATCGACGGAGGGGATGGGAAATACGATGGGATTTAAGGATCTTGTTGGTGATCTTCCATAGAGAATTGTCATGAACAGAGAGGGAAGTAAGGTAGGAGTTGAATGATTGGAATTTGAAGGTGGCCAATTCCTGCTTTAATCGTTTACTGTAATAAGTATATGAGCTGCGATCGGTGGGGTGTCTTGAATGTTGCCATAATATTCTAGCACGGTGTTTGATGTGAATTAGATCTATCAGGTATTGAGGTAAATTATTGTTTTTAGAAATTTTCGAGGAGAGATTGGGGAAGGAAGCAGTCCAGATTGCTTGCTCAATATTGGTGGTAAAGGAATGTACGGCATTATCGAGGTCTTCTGAGGTTTTCAGGGTTATTCTGAGGTCAATTTTATCGGAAAGGATTTGATGAAAGAGTTTCCACTTAACTGGGCCTGTGATGCATGACAGAGGAGGGGGTTTGTAATAGGAGCTATTGATAATTGAAGTATTAATGGACTATAATCTGAGGAAAGTTCGTCAAGACGGGTAAGGGAATGATTGGATGAAAATATTAGGATTGCTGTTAGGATCAGTGAGCCAGTAAGTTGGTGAGTTGGGTGGAAAGGAGACTGAAACGTTGGTAATTGAGTGCAGACAGCAATGTTCTGCCACGAGAATTCGTGGTTCTTGATCCCCATTCTTGTTGTTTGGCATTTAAGTCTGCACCCAGGATGAAATGATGACCTTAGGCATTGAGGAGAGAACTGAACTGGACTTTGGATATGAATCTGTTAGGAGGTCAATATGCTGATGCGAGTGACCGGAAAGGAGAAGGTTTTAATTACAAAAGCGGTTGATTGTAGGATATCTTGACTAGGTAAGGGGAGTAAGTGATAAGAGAGAGATTGGTGTATGATGACAGTAGTGCCGGCATGTGCTCTACCGTCAGGATGGTCTGTACGATATGTTATGTACTGTGGAATTTTTAAATGCTTTTTTCTGATCAGTCGAGTTTCTGTAATTAGGGTAACGTCGATGTTCTTGTCTAGTAGTAAAGCTGTTAGTTCGTCAACGTGATTTCTAACACCATTCGTATTGCAAAGGAGAATAGATATGTGTTTGATGGGAATCATTTAAGGTTTTTTCAAAGGAGGGATGAGGTGAGATACGAGTTGTAAGGAGTGATATGGATGGAGTAACCATTGATTTGAAGTCAATGAGGAATGATGACAACAAACTGGTGAGATCTGTGGCATTTGAGGGAGGAGGAATTTGAGGTTGTTGATGGTTAGGTATGTTAGGATGAACAGGATATTGAGGTTGGAGTTGAGGAAGTTGCTGCGGCAGGGCTTAAATGGTTGGGTTCTTACCTCCAAATTGTTCGGAGAGTGATAAATTATTATCAACAATTCTAGAAGGTTTTCTTCTTGGTTTGGTTGTCTCATCTTGAATCCGGTTCTTCTGGTATCTGGATTTGAGGTTCTTATAAGTTTGGCAGGCTTTTTAGTTGGGCGGGTGTCCCTCTATGCATATGTATCGCCCGTGCAACATACCAAAATTGTATCTTTTATTTCTTATTGTTGTTTTATAAAATACTTAAATTGTAAATTGAAATATGCATATTCATTGTAAATACTTTTTATTAATAAATTGTAATGGCGATAACATATACTGACTAAAGCTCAAGATAACTATTATAGTAACGGCTCTTGGTAGCCGGTTTGGTCTTGGCGGAATGAATACGCCAGTCAAACCTCAAATTATTTGTTCTACGGAGCTCCACCCCTTCAGGGTGTAGATCTATATGTAGACGGTCAGTATGTGTATTCTATACTCTTTTGGTTCACCTCAGTCTGCTTTCCTTATTTAACATCAACCTTATAACTTTATCCTCTTCTCTTGCGCCATGTAAGTTGGACGCTGATCCGTCCACTTGCAGTCCTATATACTGAGTCTGGAGATTGATCCCTCCGTCATTATCTCATCCTCCCACAAGTCCGGAGTTTGATCCCTCCGGTTGTGGTGACCATCCTTGCGGAGTGTTAAGGCTGATCCCTACCACCGCGGGCCAAGAGTGATTGGGTGCTGATCCGCCTGTCACTCGAGGCTATCCATCTAATCACCTTCCTTCAACCATTCAGTCATCTCTATCCTCTCAATAATGAACACGCACTGTCGAGGCCTTCTGAGGTATATGTATAGCAGAGAGGCGGCAGTATATGCATATACTGCCGCCTCTGCTATACATATACCTCGACACATAGGTCACAAACTGCAGGATCTTGTATCGGTTTGGTGCACTCTGCTGATTTGTGTTGTTCATCACATATCACGCAACTCGGCAAGTGGTGGAAATAAGTCTTTATGTGGCCATAAGCCTGGCAATTGTGGCACTGCAAAATTTCCCTCTTGGGGTATGGCTTCTCTATCTTCACGACAGTGCAGTACAATCTCTTAATTTCATATATTTTCTCTATACCAGATGGTGGCTCTATGTCCACGAAAAATAAAGGTAATTGTTTTTAAGAACAGCAGAGCAATAACAATTCATGGAAGGGGGAGGGAGGAGATTTATGCGCCATGGACCTTGGGTGGGATGGCCACCCCTGATAACACGGGGTTATAACTAAAGCTAATTACGATATAGTTTCGGAGAGAAAGATCCTCCAAGGAAGGCCTGGGAAGGAGGGCCAAAACAGGCTTTTGACAGAGATGTTTGGGGTGAAAAAGGGGAAATCACCTGGTTCAAGACTGAGATATTTGTATCAAAATGTTTGTTTTAAAGCTCTATTGAAATGTACCTCACAGTTCGAAAATGTAGAAAAGTGGGCTATCTACTCATCTTCTGTTAGAATTGACACAATAACTAACATATTACCATCCCACTTTATAAAACTCACCAAATACTTGGAAAAATGAAAGATTGAGATAATCGATGAGGTCAATGCTGAGTTTAAGAACTCTCCCAATTCTTCTACGATATTTTACTATTACATTAAGAAGATTTATAAACAATCACGAAATCAAATCCTTTTCCAAAACATTATCATTTTAAAAATGTATTTAAAACCCTGAGAATCTACAAAGTAGTCAACTATTATTCATCTCTGTATTCCTACTGGATTAGATTTAAAATGAACGAATGAGAAAATATATTAACTCTATGGATTTAACCTTCCAGCTGTTATAATTAAGCGCGGGTCCTGATGTTTTTAAATTGTTGACAGTTCATTATAAATGAATAATTTACCTCCTAGTGTTGATGTGTCAAATGCTGTTAAATTGTATATCCCGGAGTTTTTCGAACGTGAAGGTCTGTTTGACTTTTACTTAAAAACTATGGATTTTTCTATTTATGTGACAGTCGTTTTTATTTTATTTGTTTCTGAAATATTATGAATATAGTGCTGAAGGTATAGTAGTTAATAAGCCTTATAGTGATTGAACTATACATGTTCTAGATATTTTTGAAATAAATAATTACTATTAAGGCCTTTAAAGCATGTTTAGGTATCCTTAAACTCTTCCTGCCGCCCGAATTAATCTTAACTGATGACTTGCCTTTAAATATTAGTGACTATATATTAAATAAGTAATAAGTGAAATTGCTTCTTGGAAATTACTGATTGAATGGTGGGTCAAAGTCATATATATCATACTGTAAATGGAATTCCAAAAGTAGCTGAATTTAGATTACTATGTTCTAGATTGGGCTCACTCAGGAGATGCTCACACCCCCAACTGTTCCATTGCAGTTGAGGTTGTGACTTTACTGAAGATTGCTTGCCTTGTACTTTCCTACATATTCAGCTATTTTCAGGATTCTATATACAGTGTGATCAATGTAATCTTGTCCCATTTGTCAATCAAACATGAACTAATTACCCCTAGTTTAAAGAAAAAAAACAGCTCAGGTTTACAAAAATAGTATAATTATTTTTAATTTGAATACTTTCTTAAGTAAACTTCAAAACTGACCTTATTAATGGAAAGAAATTTTCTTATGGATTAAGGCTATGGCATGTGTAACTATTATGTGGAATCCAGTATGGTATTGAACAGGATTTTATGAACTATATGCCAACAATCAAAGAAAAACTCAAATAATAAATTCTTATATAAAAAACTAAATAATTTATTAAATGAGCCTGATTTTAAAGAAATTTGTAATAATAATATTAAATTGGTATACTAATCCATTTGTGATAATCTGATTGTAAATTAATAACTATCATTGTTTATTATCATATAAATGTCTTCCATTTCATTCCAAATGACATTAACCTTTGGCTGTCTTGTTTTATTTTTTATTTAAGAAACCTCAGTATATTGCCCATTAATGTCCTATCCCTGTCCTGGAGAAACCACTTATGTAACATTTCTCATCACTTCTGCAATGTAAAGAGTCTAAGATTTATCTTTCAAATTATCCCTCCTTTTATTGGTTTTAAGATCTTCCCCCCTCCTCTTCAGAAAAAAATAAACCTCATTTTTCCTTATCCCATAGGTATAAACATATTCAACAGAGCATTATTATGCTTACTGTCGATAATTAAATAACTTATAAAAAAAATTCTTTAATATATTTTTCTGTATATCAATGGATGCCTGCCCCGACAGGTCCTGTACCCAATGCATTGCATCAGTTGCTTTAACGTTATAGCCACTGGTTGTAATGTGTATAGTTTGTTGTTGGACTGAAGTAGTCAGTCAATTACTTTATTTAATTCATCTTTGGTGCTGCCTCTATTCCCTGTTTACTGTTTACTTTCAAGTGGCTCGATACTTCTTACCATTGCTATTATTTTCAACCATTTGTTATTTATATCTGAACTTTATCTTTCCTTCATTCTTCCATCCTTGATTAATCATTCATGTGCCCTTTCTGCTTTTAAATCTCACCCTTTCAATAATCGATCAACTGGTTTCCTAATAATGGTTAATTTTATTACACCCTTTATTATAATGTAATGTAATTATATGCAAATATTGTTATATCCTTTTTCACTTCCACTTACTCTTTTGTTAAAAATATACTAAGAGAAAGTATTTCGATTGTGAAAAATTTTGAATCTAAGTTTTCAACAAAAATACATTTTTCATGGTTCTCTGAGTCCAAATAACCAATTTTCAAAAATGTCTGTATATTTCTGTATGTATATAAACATCAAAGCTGAAAAATAAAAATACATATGATACTAAAATTACGTATTTAAGTTAGGTATATGGCTGGGATGTTACAGCTACTTTTTGGCTAAAATAAACTTGTAGCCCAGTCAAATTAGCACAAAAAAGGGGTATAGCTTGCAAAATGTCGGGTAATTCAAATTTATATAAGCATTTCAAGTTTCCGCCCTTGAAATACTTATGGGTTCCTTGCAGTGCTCCAAAAACCAATGAAATTTGGAACTTTTTCTGGTTTATGCTAAATATCTCCTTTTTGAAGCAAAATAGATTTTGAAAAATTGTTATATTTAATCTTAAACAGCTTCAAATTATCTAAAAATTTTGTACATAAATATTTTTCTAAACCCAATAGTAACATAGTAACATCATTGTAGTAACATTTGTTCGTTAATGCAATCAAATATTAATATAATTATTTTAGCACTATAACTATGCCATTTATGAGTACTTAATGATGTGGCAGAGGACTCTAGATGCCCATGCCACTTCCACTTTTCCGCCGATGAAGTGTATTTTATAAGTAACTGCTTCCAATATTTTAAAAAAGTTATGAGTGTTTTGGAAAGAAATATGTATTCTCCAGTTATTTTATTTTTGGGGCCTTTTTCGTTATTGTTTGCTGTTTATTTACAAAAGACACTTGATTTTCAACTTTAGTTTGAATGACTTGAAAAACTTCACTTACTATTGCTTCACTCACTATTGCCCCGGCCAATTATTTTTTCATGTTTTATTATTCTCTAACTATCCAGCTTTAATAAAAGGCTGTTGATGGTGAAATTAAGCCAAATGCTAAATTTCAGTAACCGAAAAACTTACTCAAGTCAAAGACATCAATCTGCTATGTTTGAATGCCATTTTGGGACAGTGCGTCCACTTTTTTGTTGTGGGAACATTGGCTTTTTTTTTTTTAATTAATAGTTACAAGGAACACTACCTAACTACCTGTACCCCTACAACCCATGAAGGGTCTGGGGTTCAGTACTATTTAGGGAAAGCACTGTTTCTAGGTCAACGGTTGTGCGAGGAGGTGATTTGACCGAGATCACGCTCAACCGCCATGTTTTCCCCCTTAATTAATTATTTAATTAAGGGTACCAACTTTATAGAGGCTGGGTGTGCCCCAGGCCAATGAAACAGATAAATACATTTTCTGCCATGAGCCAGGGTTCGAACCTGGGACCCTTGCATTGGAAGCTCAGTGCCCTACCACTGAGCTACCCCACTCCCACAAGGAACACTACTATATGCAATTTATTGGGATTTGGGGGGAGAGTGTACGGTAGGGGGGTCTGGCCTACCTTGTAACATACTTTTCAAAACACCTCCCTACTACTGTTTACCATTCCAGTCAGTTGCTCATTATCTTAAAGAAAACCTCTAAGTTCTCTGAATGTGGTTCAAAATTGAGTTACAGATTTCTTCCATTCAAAACTGAAAAAGCACAATTGTGAAGAAATCAAAACAGGTAAATTTTGAAAGCTCGATAGTTTGCTTCTTCTTGGGTTTCTATGTTTAAGATTGAATATAACCGTTTATTATCTATGTTGCTCTGAAAAGGAGATATTTAGTGTAAACCAAAAAAAGTTTGAAATTTCAATGGTTTTTGGAGCACTGCAGCGAACTCGCAAGGCTTTCAAGGATGGAAACTTGGATTTTTATATTCACTGCATACCTTACAATATAAAACAGAAATTTGAATTACCCGATCTTTTTTAAGGTATCATATCTAATTTGACAGGGCTATTGACAGAAGTGCCATATTATATTATAAATTTTACATATTTTTACAATTTTCTCGAAAACAGCTCTAACAATTTTACTAAACTCATATCAATGTGAAATTTAATGGTCTTTAATATCAGTTAAATCTTAACCACATTGAAATAATCTGACAGAAATTAATAGCCAAATTTTCAAAACTTCTTCCTCTATATTTTGTTTATTAAAAGTAATAAAAGGTCTTTCTTTGTTATTAGTAATATAAAATAGGTAAATACAAATTTTGAAAGAATTTGATAATTAACTGAAGGAGAAATATTTTTGCTATTTGAAAACTTTCTGGAAATATAGATAGTAATTTTGATGAATAGTTATGGATATATCGTTAGAAAGTTAACAATTTTAGTATAATGAATATCTATCATAGAAGGTAATGGAGTGTGGTGAAAAGCTAATGATTTTTTCTGTTTATCATTAATAATATCTAATTTTATATTATTGAATAGGAAATAAACCTTTTTTTTTTAATGATATTTACAACTGTATTAAATAAATAAATCTAGTAAATTTGAACATATGGATATAATGATATGAAAACACTTGCTGAGTAACTACCCAATGGTAGCACTCTAATGATATGGCTACATTAGGAGATCAGGGGGCCATCTTCTTTTCAGACGCCTCAGAGGGTTATCAGGAATTGAACAGGAAGTAAAGGTTAGAAACGAGAGGGTTGGGATGATTCTAAAGTTTATTATGGAAGGATAGGTATCTGGATTGGACCAGATCTGAAACAAAAGAAACATTAAGGTCTTTATGGATGATTTTATTTGTGACAAAGTTGGGAACATTGAGGATTTTACGGAGGATTTTGGATTGGATACGAGAGGAATTCGATGGTTTAGTGGAGCCCCATAGCTCAACTCCGTAAGTCCAAATAAGCCTTATTATAGTCATGTTTATGAGTCTTTTGTAATTAATTGGAAGTTTAGGGCGTTTGTCTAATAAGTGCTGAAGTAATCGGAAACGTCGAGCGGTTTCTTGTCGTTTCAGTCTAGTATGAGGATACCAAGTTAGTCGTTTGTCCAGGTGGAGTCCTAGGTATCGGATTTGCTCAACAGGGATAAGTGGAGTATTGTTAAAGGAAACTGTAGGACAGGTAGCCATTGGTTTACGACGAAGGGTAAAGGTAATTTGGTGGGATTTATTGCAGTTTATTTTAATTCTCCAGTTTTGACACCATTCTTCAAGATTTATGATGTGTGATTGAAGCATTTGGGATGAAATTGATGGGTCATTATTTACTGATAGAAAACATGTGTCATCGGCATATGTGGTGATGACAGTGTTGGGATAGTAGGGATGTCAGCTGTATAAACTGTATAGAGGATAGGAACTAGGATA